GAATAACTTGTTGTTTGTTAGTTGGTTAAACCAGAAGTATCATCAGTTTCCTGAAACAATAAACAAGAACATAAGCTTCATATAAAAAGATCTAACACTCCTAAACCTAACCCTAAACTGATTTGTACTGGATTGAGTTATATTGGACTGGCTCAAAATAAACTGAACCAGTTCAGAAGAAATTGAACTGGTTCAAAATCATATTGAACCTGAACTACAACATATATATTATTGATTGCAAGAATAACTTGTTGTTTGTTAGTTGGTTAAACCAGAAGTATCATCAGTTTCCTGAAACAATAAACAAGAACATAAGCTTCATATAAAAAGATCTAACACTAGAAGGAAAGGGTTCTCTAGRGGTAGGTGAGAGTGGGTATTTCCATATATGAACAACAAACAAGGTTTGGAGTTTTGGTATATTCTATAAACAAGATATTTACATGTAATTCTACTTTATTTTCTAAACTTGTTGCAGGATATCCATTTTGTTATTATTAAGAAAGGTAAATGTTAGCAAAAAAAAAGAAGACCAAACAGATAAGCTATTTCCAAGGAATTATTATTGTCCTACGATTGGTTTAATTTTCCCAGATAGTTGGTATTTACCTGATTAAGTTTCTTGAATTCTACCACTTGATGGAAGATGTGGTCTAGGATGTGCTTGGCAGTACGGTTATCACCAGGTAGTTTGCTGTTAACATTTAGTATGTCACCACATTCACGTACATAATATTCAAGGTCGTCTTCTGAGCCTAAAGATAAAARTATACTAACTGGTTAATATTGATATTAATAGTAATTTACTTTATTAGAAACGTTTGAGCATTGTACTATGTTAAYAGTATTAACATCACCACCATCAGAWATYATGTCATTACTATCATGAACACAACAACAAACACCACAAAATATTATCATCATTATAACACGAACAATATCTACAAATTATCATAAATTCAGCGACATCCCTATCATAACAATCATTTTGATTTAATAATAATTATCACCAACACAATCATCATTACTGCATCCTATATTAATTGGTATCCAATCACCTTGACAATGAACAACTGAAAATTGCCCCCTATATATACCTCTTTCAAAAAGGTTGTCGGATAAAATGGTGTATGGCAATTGTCAAATGGCAACTGCACAGCCGAAAGGGAAATAAGAACTGATTTATASTATATAATAGTCTGTGGTCATTATTGGCTCCAGTCTCCATTTGCATGCGATTAAACCCAACAAGTGAATTTTTGTATGTCAGACAGCGTAATCATAGTCCCTTTCAGTTGTACAATCTTAATTTGACAATCACTGCTTGSCGTTAACAATGTTTTTTGAAATAAGTGAATAAAGTAATGTAATAACTGATAGTGTATAAATGTCTTACACTTATTGGTTATCTGTGCAAGTCTGACTTTCTCAGAGGAAAATGCTTCATCCAAATCAAATAGGTCCAGTGCAGGTGGAGGRAGTTCACGGAAAGTGGGAGGAAATACCTGCAAGAAATGAATTAAATTATCTTCTAGACAATAAGAAAGAAATTTAGAATGGGAAATAACAATGAAATATAGTGATGTAGTTCTTGCTGCACTCTTAGGAAATTTACTTTATAATTTCTCGTACTTACAGCTGGTTGTAATGGTGGTAATGGTGTTTCAAACTGAGGTGTTATTAACTGTAGAGGTTCATGTTTCACATGGAGTTCATCAAAGGCTCTGTGAAATCAAATTAAAAGCKTTATGGTAAATGAGTCATAAATGAAAGAGTGTTCTATCA